AGTGTAGCAACAGCACCGATATTTCAGCCCAGTTTTGAAAACGACTCTGAGGGTTTGGGGCCCACGTTGCTTAGATAAACAGCCCACGTTGATCTAATTCACTCACTAATTGCTCAATTCTCCAATTTATTGCCCAGATGTAGCCAAATTCCTCCCCGTGGACAGGGAAGGCACAGCAACAGCCTGTAATGACAATGCGCCAAATCGCACGTTACAAGTAAGGCAGAGGCCAGGAGAAGGTTCAGCACTGCGGGTCCCCGGTCTTCTGGTCAGAGGAACAGCAGTGTGGCTGCGAACATGTCACTTGGATTGCCATGGCTTCACATGACCACAAAACTGCTGAGGTGGCCCCTGCTTCTTATTACAGGGAAGTGCAACCTGAAGCCAGACACGGGCAGGGAAGGGCTGGACGGTGTCCCCTTCGCTTCAGGGCAAGGTGAACTCTGGGTGGGGGAACTATGCTCTTCCAAAGCCCTGACACAGCGCGTGGCCCTGATCATCGGTGACCGTCCCTGCCACTGAGTCTTCTGCGGCCATGCGCAGTGGAAACCTCTGAGGCCTAGAGAACACTTTTCAAACCAGACGTCCCCAGGGAAGTCATCCACATGCCATGCAACTCATAATAAGCGCTACGGTGCTGGGTCATAAATCCATCTTCCTCTCAGCTCATCGACTATGATGTGCATGTCCCTGTTCCCTGCTGAGTCGGCAAGGACTAACGGTGCAGGGGAAATAAAGTAGCAGAGAGAGAGAGAGGCAGTCGGGGGAGGGGGGGAGGGAAGGAAAATCAAACAGTTATTACGAATGCCCTTTGTGGACCACGAGCGGAAGATACAGTCACCCTTTTACCTAAACCAAGTTAAATAAAATTATCACACACAAAAATATTACAAGTCATTTTAAATATTTGGAAAGTAAAGTATGGTTGCTCTAAAGGATTAGGCAACAAGATTGGGAGTCAGAGGAAGGTGTGGGCTTCCAAGGGCAGGATGAATGGTGCTAACTAGATATGGGGAGAGTAGATGGAGAAAGGAAAGAAGAAAGAACAGCCTAGGTCAAGGCCATGAGATGTTAGACCGTGCTCCTCAAACTCTGCTTGGCAAATGAATCCTCCGGGTTGCTGGTTAAACTGCAGATTTCAATTCAGTAGGTTTGGGGTGGGGCCCAAGATTCTGCGTTTCTAACCAGCTCTGGGGTGAGGCCAACACTGCTGGTCTGGTCCACACTGTGTGTAGTGAGGATCCAAGCATCTGCCCAGAGGCCAGAGCACAGAGAAGGGAGGGCCAGTGAGGAGGCCAAAGAGCTTGGCAGAGGTCAGGGGAACTGGGTCTAGGAGGAGTGGGGCCCATGAAGATCTCTGCTTTCTTTGTTCTCGCCAAATAACTGTCCTAGGAGTTCATTTTCCCTGGGAGACGGCCCTTTGCAATCTCCAAAGTGTAAGTGAGAGCAAAGGTGTTTATGGACTTCAGGGCTTCTAAGAGCCAATAAAGCACAGCTCCTTCATCACAGACAGCCCATTAACAACCCATGTTTATTAGTAGAAATCCTCTGAACTTAATACGCCTTTGTCAGCAAAAGTAATTGATCTTGGCCGGTTAATTTGGCTGCTTTCACAGATCGAGGACTTGCCACTCTTTTAAGAGTGTCCGACAGCTCCGTGGGCTTCCCTCCCTTCAGCAATCAATTCCCAAGAAGACTGAGCCCACAGGCTTCTTAAAATAGTTTGGGGAAAAGAGAACATAGACATCTCTCAGTGACACCTTGGTCGTTAGTCTCAGAAGCCTGGAAGACGTCGGGTTTCTCAAAAAGGTTTGTGCCAACTGCCACTGTCCCATTCCCTGAGAATGTGACTGACAAAAGGCACACGGAACTGTTCGCTGTTCCGTTAGGCAGGTAATAAAAGCTGGAGCTTAAAGGAAAGGGAAGCAGATGTGTGTTTTAACCAGTGTTTGGTATACTTTATAAACTATGCTTTCCTTCTGCCTCAGGAAAGAGTCAACCTCTTTCCCCTTTAAAATGAATATAGGACTGCCTGGCCGGTGTGGCTCAGTTGGTTGGGCGTCTTCCCAGGCGCCAAGAGGTCACCGGCCCAATTCCTGGTCAGGGCACATGCCCGAGGTGAGGGCTCGCTCCCCAGTAGGTGGCGTGCAGGAGGCGGCCCATTGATGTTTCTCTCTCATCAATGTTTCTATCGCTCTCTCCCTCTCTCTTCCTCTCTGTCTCTAAAAATCAATTTAAAAAAACACACATTTAAAATGTATATAGGACTTAGGCAGACTGAACACAAGCCACAAGGAACACACTGTCCTATGACTCAGACAACCCTTCGGAGCAGCCACAGGAGCTCAGGTTTTCGCCCTCCTGGTCAGTACCGGGACTCTGGGGGAGAGACTCTCCTGGCCCTTACTTATCTCCTGAGTAGATGGGGATGGTTCGGTTTCAGGAGTCACGGGAAAGCATTCCTCACGTGAGTCATGATGACACTCACACCTAACCATGTCAGACTCGCTGCCTCTGGAGTGGGTGAGAGCGATTGTGAAATCCTCTCCAGGAGCCTTCCAACGTTCGCATGCTCTCAGCTGTCTGGAATGCCAGCCATATAGACGGTCGTGACCCAGATCAGGATGTAAAGTCACGGGTCAGGCATTTCTTCATTATCTACGGAATCCATCTCGATGAGGTGGAGCGTCTCCCCAGCCGTCCGCCTCCGTCGCCCCATCACAAAAACACGGGTAGGCAGAGTCTCCTGGATTTGGAGAGTGTAACTAAGGGCGTGAGATATGAAATACACGCCACCCGATATACACAGTGTTTACCGGAGAGTTGGGGGACCCCTCGAAGGGCTGGAGATTCATTTATCAGAGAGGGTAATGCCCAGGAGGGATGCTGCATGGGTGCGCGACCCCAGAGGGGGTGCTCAAGGCAGAGAGGAACCGCCCTCCTGAGAGGGGGTGTCTGTCTAACAATAGCTCTCCTTCCCCCGCAAGAAGGGGCTGGCGGCCTTAATGGGCAGAATATCGGTCTGGAAGAGAAGACACTCCTGGTTTTAGTGTGCTGTCACAGATGGAAATATGAAACAGGGAGAAGGGAGGCCTTGCAGACAGAGCGGCACGAGGAAAGGACTGTAGGCTGAGAAAGAGCAACGGGTTTTGGGGATATAGATCCAGAAGTGGAAACACAAAACACAGGTTTTAAAGCATACATACACCCCTACGTCCGCTGCAGCGTTATTTATAGTAGGCACGATCTGGCAGCAGCCCCAGTGCCCATCAGTAGATGAGTGGATAGAAAAGCTATGGAATTTACACCATGGACTACGACTCGGCCATAAAAAGAAGGAAACCTTACCCTTTGCAACGGCATGGAGGGACCTGGAGAGTATCACGCTAAGTGAAATAAGCCAGTCAGAGAAAGACAAGGACCATATAATTTCACTCATATGTGCAATCTAAAGAACAATATAAACAAAATAAAAACAGACTCATAGATACAGAGAACAGATTATTAGTTGTCAGAGAGGAGGGGGGATCGGGGACCGGGTAAAAAAGGTCAAGGCACTGAGTAAAGATTGGTAGTTACAAAATAAAATATTATCAGAAAACTTCACAGCTACCGGTGTGAGAGAAATAAAATTGAGAAACGAGCAATATTTAATGGCAAATAGAAATTATTTACTTAAAAAAACAACACAAAGCTATTTATCCATAATAAGCAAGAGAGGAAATACATCGAAGTTGAATCTGAATTTGCAAAATCATGTTAATCTTCATTAGTAAATTGCCTTTGTGTTTTTGTATACTATTACAATATGATGTATATTACATACCTCATAGTACATATATCATATATGTCCTCTCCTTCCCTGTCTCCTTTCCCTCCCTCCCCCTTCCCCATATGAAAAAGCCCTCGCCCTTGGTCACACTTACTTTACTCGGGACTCTCTAAGCTGTGTGTGCTGTAGGAAGGGAAAGATTTTAGGAAAGACATGTAGAGAAATGACAAATGCTATGACTTATGATGGTCCACATCTGATTCTACTTTGGCGAAATTACGATGCTCAAGTTCCCCATTATTTTTAATATTCTGAGATGCATACTGTATGTTCTTTATTACAAATGATTAAAAGCTTTAAAAATATATGGTGTAAATAACTTGGAGTGGCTGGTTAAGACTAAGTTCCCCCTCGTCACCGTGACCACCGTCATCACCAATGATTTTACTGCAAATTTAAAATACATAAATAAAAAAGATCCCCCTTAATATCCTAACATCGGCCAAGTTCCTTTTTTCATCCCAAGCTCTCTGAAGGTATCCTTGGGACATGAGCTACAAGTCAACAACGCTTGGAAAGGCAGGTCTGCGGCTTTGCCTCATGAGTCCCTCCTCTTCCCAAATCCACAGCTTAGGGTCCCCTTCCTCCTGTCCGCTCCCCCCAGTGTAACTGGCCAATCCCCGGGCCAGGCTCTCTCCCCGCGCAGGATACACTAAGGCGAGCTGACCCCACCAGCTTCCCACCTGACTGCACCAAGGACTCCACAGCTGCTTCAGCGAGAAACTCCTTTACCCAAAGAGCAGAGAATCCATGTCTCCCCAAAGAAGACAGCAAGTGGAGGAAAACCAGCCTCTTCCCCCCATTCCTTAGACCAGTGGTTCTCAATGAAGACTGACCTTGTTCTCAAGGGGGCAGGTGGCAATGTCTGAGGACATTTTTGGTTGTCACAACTGAGGGTGTGAGTGCTCCTAGAATCTAACGGGTAGCAGCCAGGGATGTTGCTAAACATCCTACGACATACAGGACAGCTGCCACCACAAAGACCTACCCAGCCCAGGATGCCAACAGCGCCAGGGTCAAGATACCTGCCGTCGAGAGACCGGCTCTCCCCTGGGTTCCATATCGGGGAGAGGAGGGGAGGCTGTAAGGAGAGTCAGGGCCACTCTGGTGAGTCCCAGCTGCAATTAACCAGAAGGATCGTGCTCGGACCACCCAGGGCAGTACTTACAACACAGGAACACTTGGTACACTTGTCTCCGTCGGGCTGAAAGTGCTCCCCTTCCCGGTACTGCACGCCCTCAAACACGCAGCCTGCAGAGCAAAGGAGAGTTTAGAATGAAGGGCAGCAGCCTTTGTTCCATTCGACGCCATCCTTCTACCCACTGCTCGCCGGTCTCCCACCTCCACCTCCATCTAGCAGAGTGTCCCCTTTAACCAGACGACAATACTGCCTCGGAGTAAGAAAAGGAGGGGGGAG